AGGCCCCGCCCCAGGGCCAGGCCCCGCCCCTCCCACACACCGCCCGCACCGCGCCCGGCAGTCCACCCGGTAGGCCGGCCACAGCCCGCAGGAAAGCCTGCCCAGCGCTCCGGGCCACGCCCACAACGGAGCCCCGCCCCTGCCCGCCGGGCTCCTCCCACTAAGGCCCTGGCCAGGCTCCTCCCACTAGGGCCCTGGCCCTGGCCAGGCCTGCCCTGCCACCGCTGGGCCCTCGGGTCTAGCTAGGGGGCTGCCCCTCCCCACGCCTGCCCCGCCCTGGATCCCGCCTATAGGCTCAGGGGCGTCGCGTGCTTCCTGGGCAGGTCTGAGAAGACACAGGTGGTGGCGGCATCCCGGTTTGTGACCCCTTTGAGATGAGAGCGCCGGGCTCGGGGAGCTAGAGCTGTCTGCCTGGGGCCGCAGAGCACAGCCGCTGCCCACTCCCTGCCGGGCTCCCGTCCCAGGACCAGCCAGAGCTGGAAGGGCTGGAGCCCCTGTGCTCAGGGGCGCCCTCACTCTGCACCCCCGGCCACCACAGGCACCCCAGCCGTGCTCCGGGTGGTCCAGCGGTCACCCCCAGGGCCGCCTCCCGCCCTGGGTCCTGGCTGGGCTGTGGCCGGCTCTGCTGCCCGCGTGTGTTGGGCCTCTGGGGTGTGCACGTGTGCCCGCGGACCCACACCCCGGTGCGTGCGCAGCACTGCGGCTCTCGCTGCAGGGCCGTGTCATGGAGTCACAGGGCGCCGGCCCCTTGGGGTGCAGTGCAGCCTGTCGGGGGAGCCCTGTGACAGCCAGGGGCACCGCAGGCTCGGGCGGGTCCTGCGGCTGAGCCCTGAACGCGGGCACCCTCTGTCCACAGTGTCCCCCGCTGAAGGGCAAGGTCCAGCGGATCCTACACTGGAGGTGGACGGAGCCCCCGGCCCCCTTCAACTTCGGGCTTCCGGGGCCCGAGCTGGAGCCCGGCGCCGCCCCGCCCAAGGCCCTGGAGGGCATCCCGGAGAGGGAGTTCTTTGTCAAGTGGGCGGGGCTCTCCTACTGGCACTGCTCCTGGGTGAAGGAGCTCCAGGTGGGCAGGCGGCGAGGGCGCGCGGGAGCGCGAGGCGCAGAGGAGCTGGGCGCGCGGCTGCGGCGGGCGGCGGCGGGAGGGCGGCCATCTCCGCATCCCCCCGCAGCTGGAGCTCTACCACACGGTGATGTACCGCAACTACCAAAGAAAGAACGACATGGACGAGCCGCCGCCCTTCGACTACGGCTCGGGCGACGAGGACGGCAAGAGCGAGAAGCGGAAGAGCAAGGACCCGCGGCACGCCAAGATGGAGGAGCGCTTCTACCGCTTCGGCATCAAGCCCGAGTGGATGGTGGGCCACCGCGTCCTGAACCACAGGTGGGGCGGCGCCCGCGGGAGGAGGGGCGGCCCAGGGTCCCCGGCTGCGCGGTCCGCGGCGGGGCTGGCATATGCACAGCGGGCAACTAACTCGTGGGGCGGACAGCCCACGGGCGACTTGGTGCCAGCTGGGCAGGCTCGTGGGTGCGGGGCCTGGTGCTGGCCGCCTGCCAGGGTCGGGCGCAGGCCGCCCGAGGGCCAGCGTGTGGTCTTTCCACCTGGATTTTGTGGGTGGGAGATCAGCACGCCCCAGTAAGTCACTTGCCCAGAGTCGCGCAGCCCAGGCGTGCGCCCAGACCTGGCTCTCTTGGCTGCTGTGGGCATGTGTCCAGCGAGCGAGTGACCAGAAAGCCCCGGTCAGGGTGCTCTGAGGCCGTGGCGGGGCCACGGCGGGGCCTGGGCTGGAGGGCTGGCCCACTGCCTGGGCTCTTGCTGGCTCCCGGGCTCAGGTGCCCGTGGGGGTGCGGGTGGGGCAGGCCAGTCCACACACCTGCCTTGGCGAGGCTGCGCCTTCCGGGTCTGGGCCCAGCGGGGCCGCGCCGAGACATGGGGGTTGGGAATACTGAGGCCAAGAGCGGGGCCCGGGCCAGACTGGGGGCTGCCTCTGCCTTTCTGGGCTCTGGGCCTCACTTCTCCCCATGGAATGGGGAGCTTGCCCTGTGCCTCCGGTGGGGGGCGGAGAATTGAAAAAGCCTCCCTCCTTGACTGTGAACCCCCTCAGTTTCCACCCCAGCCCTCACTGAGAAGGACCATTAGAGAGTGTCAGGTCCAGCCTCCCTGGTGGCGCAGCGGGTTAAAGCGCAGCACTGGGAAGCTATTGCAGCCCCTGCAGCACGAGTTCGATCCCCTGCCAGGGAGCAACCCACAGGGCGCGGCAGACCCCCCCTGACCCACCCGCTGCTCCCCTCAGCAGTGGATTGCAGTGGGCCCGCCTGTTCTGCTCCCCACTCTGTCTCTGGGGAGTCCTCTCACCCCCTGCACCTCAAGCCCCAGTTCTGTGTGCATAAATGAATAGATCTTAAAAAAAAGTGTCAGGTCCTGTGGGAACCTGCGTCCCCCTGAACACACCAGGGTTTCTTACCTTTATTAAATCGCTTGTTCAAACCCGGGTGGGTGCCAGACGCCTGAGGTCAGGGGAGAGTCGCAGCTCCCAGACTCAGCCCGGGGCCCAGGCCCGCTGCAGGCTGGTGGCCTCAGCTGAGGATGGAGGGGTGAGGCGCTGGCTCCCTGGTAGCAGGGCCTCTGCCCCACCCCCCGCACCCAGGCCCACACCCTTGGCCTCCCCTTTCTCCAGGTGTGCCCCAGGCCAGCTGCCCCACCCCTCCGTAGTCCTGCTGGGCCAGGCCCGGCCGGAAGTGAGGAGCCCCACGGTGGCCGCTTGCTTTGCGTGACCTGCCCTCCCGCACCCTTCCCTCTGTTGCAGCTTCGACAAAAAGGGGGACGTCCACTACCTGATCAAGTGGAAGGACCTGTCCTACGACCAGTGCACCTGGGAGCTGGATGACATTGACATCCCCTACTACGACTCCCTGAAGCAGGCCTACTGGGGGCACAGGTGGGCGGCGGGCAGGCGGGGGGCGGTGGGGCGGCGCCGCCAGCCAGGCCGCTCACCTGCCCCACGCCCTCGCCAGGGAGCTCATGCTGGGAGAGGACGCCAGGCTGCCCAAGAGGCTGGTCAAGAAGGGCAAGAAGCTGAAGGACGAGAAGCAGGAGAAGCCTCCGCACACTCCCGTTGTGGATGTGAGCCTGGGGCCCAGGGGTCACGTTCTCAGAGGGCTCCCCGGGGCCCAGGCCTGTGCACCCTGTCACTCGCCGGGGACCTGTCAGGACGAGGCTGACCCAGTCCTCCCTCCCCCGGGGGAGGACTCACCCCCAGGGGGCCAGATGAGGGGCCGATGGCCCCTGCCCAGCTCAGGATTTACGTGACTTCATTTATTTATTTTAAAGATGCTTTTATTTATGCACGCAGAACTGGGGTACAGGCCAGAGCAGCAGGGGGTGAGAGGGCTCACCAGAGACACAGTGGGGAGCAGAACAGGCCGAGCCACTGAAATACCCTGCTGAGGGGGGCAGCGGGAGATGGGGGTCTGCTGTGCCTTGGGGTCCCTCCCTGGGGGGGATCCGACTCGCGCTGCAGGGCGCGGACACCTCACCGCGCTGCGCCTTTAGCCGTGTAGCACCAGGGAGACCCAGGATGATGCACTTTAAAGGAACAGTGATAATTCCAAGCATTTACACGAAAGAAAGAACGTCTCTGGCCTCCAGCGCGCCAGCTGATGAGCCCCCGACACCCCATTCTCCTCCGTTCAGGCGGAGAGCCCCGCAGGGAGCGGGGTGGGCTTTTTTTCTTTTTGCAGCCTCTCTGGGGGCTGCCAGCACCTCTGCTGGAGGGTCAAGGGAGTGCACTTCTCAGACATACAGCACAGGGGGACTCGCCTGGGCTGCCCCGCCAGGCTGACTGCCCGCTGCGGGAGGACGTCTGGGAGGTGACCTGGAGCTGCAGGACGGACGCCGGGAGGAGGGCCACGGTCTGGGCGGGGCGGGGGCCCGCCAGCAGGCACTTTGCCCACGCGCCCCCTGCATCCAGGCACTTTACGAGGCTCAGAGCAGGCAGCAGTGAGCAGGCCCAGCGAGGCGACCGCTGCCCGGACGCAAGGCCGGCGGTTCCAGCAGCCGGGACGCTTCCCGGATAGAAGTGCAGGGCCGCCTGCCCAGGGCATGGCGCGAACACCGACACCGGGCTGGACATCAGGGAGGGCTTCCTGGAGGCGAGGCAGTCCCCCCGGGGCCTGAAGATTAACCGAGCAGGGCTGAGGGCGAGGAGGACAGCACTCCAGGCAGGAGTTCGTGCGGCAGCCTGGGGTGGGCTGGGGCCTGGTACTGAGGGCACCTGCTTTGACCCCTGCAGCCCACGGTCAAATTTGACAAGCAGCCGTGGTACATTGACTCCACGGGCGGCACCCTGCACCCGTACCAGCTGGAGGGCCTCAACTGGCTGCGCTTCTCCTGGGCCCAGGGCACCGACACCATCCTGGCGGACGAGATGGGCCTGGGCAAGACGGTGCAGACCATCGTCTTCCTGTACTCGCTGTACAAGGAGGTCTGTGGGCCGGCGCGGGGCGGGCGCCTGGCTGGAGCCCCGCGGCCGCTCACGCCTCCTGTCCCTCCAGGGGCACTCCAAGGGGCCCTATCTGGTCAGCGCGCCCCTGTCCACCATCATCAACTGGGAGCGCGAGTTCGAGATGTGGGCGCCCGACTTCTACGTGGTCACCTACACGGGCGACAAGGAGAGCCGCTCCGTGATCCGGGAGAACGAGTTTTCCTTCGAGGACAACGCCATTCGGAGCGGGAAGAAGGTGTTCCGCATGAAGGTGGGCCCCGGGCGGCCCGCGGCCAGGGGCTGCTCTCCAGCCGGTCCTGCCGTGTGCCCGGCCTGGCGGGACGTCCACTCCCGTGGGCCCAGCGCGGGTGGAGAGGCCCTCCTCAGCTGCAGGAAGCTGCGGCGTTTTCACTGGCCATTTGCTCACGCTCCCGGCATGAGGCTACTCGGGGGGATCCCCAGATCCAGGCCCCCAGTGCCCACTGGGATGGGGAGTGGGGAGCCCCCAGCCCCTCTGCCACTCCACGGGCCTTCTGTGGAATGAGGCACAGGCCCAGCGAGGCCGTGCTTGGCGTCTTCGCTTGTGGTGAGCAGGAGCCGCGTGGGCGAGCCCCGCTCTGAGTCCTGACCGCCTCTGGCGCCACAGGCCTGGCCTTCAGCCCGAGACCCCGGGAGCTATGGGTGGGCGGTGGCAGCCGGGCGGCCGCTGAGGGGCCGGCACGGGGCCTTGGGGTTCGGGGTCATCCTGTAGCAGGGCTCGCAACACCCCCTTTGGGGGCACTGGCCACCCCCTGCTCGGTGGCTGGTGTCCTCAGTCCGGGGGCTTCCTCTGGGGTTCCCGGTGCCCCTTCCCCTCGAGACTCAGCTCCACGCCCCCCCAGAAAGAAGTGCAGGTCAAGTTCCACGTGCTGCTTACCTCCTACGAGCTCATCACCATCGACCAGGCCGTCCTGGGCTCCATCGAGTGGGCCTGCCTCGTGGTGGACGAGGCCCACCGGCTCAAGAACAACCAGTCCAAGGTGGGCGGCGCGGCGCGGCTCGGGCAACCGGGGAGCCGCCGGCCGGCACCCCTGACGGGCCCCTCTTCGCCCCAAGTTCTTTAGGGTCTTGAACAGCTACAAGATCGATTACAAGCTGCTGCTGACGGGGACCCCCCTGCAGAATAACCTGGAGGAGCTGTTCCATCTCCTCAACTTCCTGACCCCCGAGAGGTTCAAGTGAGTCGTCGTGGGTGGGGGCAGCGTCTGGGGCGCCGGGGGGCTCGTGGTGCTCTTCGCCTCCTCACCGACAGACTGGCCACGTCGTCAGCGCCCACCTCAGTGAGGCCCACGGGGGCCACAGTGGGCCCGGGCCCAGCCCTCGGTGAATACCAGCTGCTGCAATATTGTGGTTTCTTTTGGGGGGCCCTCCTGGGTCCCCCTTACAATGGACTCACTCCTCTCCGACCATATAGCCCGAAGCGCGGTGGGGTGACAGTGATGGAAGGGGGGGCAGTGATGGGGGTGAGGACGGGCCCTGCAGTGGGGAGCTTGGGGTCTCCTTTCCAAGCCTTCCTGCCTTCACTGACGGCCCTTTCCCTGCCCTGAATGGGGGGTTCGGATGACGTTTAGAACCAGGATATGCAGACTGGGCCCTGTCAGTTGGGGCGCCCCCAGCCCCTATGTGTAATACGTGGGGGAGACCTCGACAGCTTCGGCCAGGGCAGCTCCGAGGGAGCATGGGAGCTGCGTGGGGTGGCACGGGGTGAGGCTCAGAGGGGTGCCCTGCCTGCCCTGGGGCCTCGGTGCCCGTATCCTGGCTGCCTCCGCCCCCGCCCCCGCCTCAGCCCAGCTCCTGCTTGCAGCAACCTGGAGGGCTTCCTGGAGGAGTTTGCTGACATCTCCAAAGAAGACCAGATCAAGAAGCTGCACGACCTGCTGGGGCCGCACATGCTCCGGCGCCTCAAGGCCGACGTCTTCAAGAACATGCCGGCCAAGACCGAGCTCATCGTCCGCGTGG